CGGCCCCCGCGGGGCTCCCCGCCGGCTCCAGCTGCGCTGCCGGGGGACCGTGGAGAGCGGGCGTCGCGCGACGCTGGGGGCTCGGGAACCCTCCAGTACCCAACCCCCCGCCTTTGGTTCTGCTTGGTCGGCTTAGAGGGTCGCGGCCGGAGGTGCCCGCGAGAAAGTGGGGTGGGGTGGGCATCAAGCCCGGAGGTAGGTCCTGGGGGGCCCGAGCCCGCCCTCGCTCCAGTGTCCCCCCGTCGTGGGGTCGCTGCTGGGACGCAAACGGTAGCGCAGCCGGACCAGTGTCGGCTGCTCTGAGCCTCTGTGCGGGGGCTTGTCCACCCAAACATCGCCAACTCTTGGCGAGGGGATCCTGCAGGAAACTCCCCGGTGTCGGCGCCCGCTGGAATTCGGGGTTCGTGTGGGGGCAGTGCAGAGACTTAACTCAGCTCTGACTGGGGAGGGGCCCGCAGGACGCAGACCGTTCGGGCTCTCGTAGACGGGAATCCAAACGCCGGGACCGGGAGGCTGGCTGAGGAGGCATAGTTAGTTTCAAGTCCACTGTAACTTTGAGCCGTAGTCTTCTCTGACAAATGAGGGCAAGGATGTCCCGAAGCAGTCTGGGGGCGAAAGAGGAGGGGGGACTTTGGCCCCCTGCTGAGAGCGGAGGGATCTGGCTGGCGGCCCTCGGTGAAATCTCCGTATTAACCAGTCTATTTCCAAAATCTAAAAATACAGGACTTTGGCAGGACGCCCAGCCTGGTGCTGGCACTTCCTAGCTGCCCCCCTGTGGGGCACAACCCCAAGGAGAAATCATGCTCCCGGCCTCTGTGGCGGCTTCAGGAGCTCTTGGACAGAGGAAACAAGGCACTTCCAGACCAACCAGGGACTTCTGTCCCAGGAACCATGGACAGAACCCAGACGGAGGTTTCCCTGCCTGGGGAAACTGACATCTCTCTGTTCCATACCTTGGAACTGAAACTGCCCAAATATCTCGGTAATGCATGCAGACAGGAGTCTGGAGACTAGAAATAAAGGTTGTATTGTATCTTTCTCCGTTATTAAAAAAAAAAAAGCAACATATTTCTATGATACAATTGTTAAGGATTTTCTTTACAGTATCTTTTATGCTCACCACTACTTTGAAATTATTAAGTATTGAACCTCCTTGTACATTTTCTCTTGAGTCTTTTTATAAAGAAGTTAATATTTATGTCACAATTTGGTGATAGTCTTGACGTAATTGGTTTCCTTTGTAATCGTGTGTTGTAAATATTATATCTATAATATATATGTGTGTGTATGCATTTAGTATCTTTCTGAGAAATTTTCCAGATTGCCAGGGGATCCCGTGCACAAAAAGTTTAAGAACCAGCAATGCTGGTCCCTTCATAATATGGGGGGAGGTAGTGATATTGCTGGGAGTAGTTCTGCAGGAGCTTTGCGATGTTAATAGTACTAATTTAAATGACCAAGCAAGAGACCTAGTATTGCATGTTGAAGCTCGTGTCCCCAGCACACAAAATCTGCCCCTTTTATCTGCAGGACGGAAAGGATCACACCAACGCTTCCTGCCTGCCCCTCCAACAACTGGGGAGACTCTAAAACACATCAGCCACCTAAAGCGTTTCTTTTGTTTCTAGATCACAGTTCCGCCCTGTGAAAAGATGCTGCTGAGGGAGGAGGGTCAGTGAGAGGAAGATGAAAGGGAGCTGAGCACTCATTCCTCAGCCAGACGGAGCCGGCTGGAGCTCTGGCGAGGGATTGGGCTCCCTTGAGAGCCAACGCTTCTCCTGTGGCAGGAGAGAGAGATGGAGCAGATGGCAGCAGGTTGCCCGTAGTGTCGCGAGGAAGAGGGATTCCCATCTGAAGGCATCTATGTTCTCTGAGAAGTAGGAGGCAAGATCATCCACTCAGACTCTGGGGTGGGGCAGAGAGAATAAAATAATAATCGATAACATGCGAATCTGACTCCACAGTTACAAAGGGTTTTCAGTCTCTTCTTAGAACAAGCCCTAAAGGAGCCTTTCTTAAGGCATGGCAAGGTTAGAGGCTAATTAACTCCCCCCACCTCTCTCCAAGGTGATCAGGTAGAAAGAGAAGGCGCCAGAACTTTGACTCAAACGGAGTTTCTGGATCCCGGAGGAAAGAACATCTTTATGCGTTTGTTTGTATATTTAAATAAACGGGGTTACTTGGTTCTGGAAATTGTATTTGACTCACATTTTCTCACTCTTTTATTAAGCTCAAGAGTGGGCTAAATCTATCTACATTTTTAAATTTCGAAATGTTAGAGCTGGGTCTGCTGTCAGGGAGACCAGAGCCCTGCCTCAGATTTTTGGTGTAGCTTGAGGTGCTGATGGGAGGAGCATCTCAGTTCGTCCTTATCAGAGTTTCCCTGGGGGTGGGAGGGTGATGCCATTCAGGTTGTCCCAAGTTTAGTCAGACTTGAGGCAGCAGTTAGTGGCTCACGCTCGGCTGCAGCCACAGAAATGGACAGGCTGACTCTAGAGAATCTCGGGAAGGGGCTGTGGTTGATGGTAAGGAGTAGCATGGGTGGGGTGGGGGTGGAAATCAGGGTCCGAGAGGGGCACCCGTAGGGTCTGTCATCTTCAACACAGGGGTCATTTCCTCACTACTCGGGGCATGGGGCTTGGGGGTGGCTTGCGGTCAGTGTGCAGATTCACAGCTGTGGGTGGGTCGGCTGGGACTGCATATGTGTACTTCCATGAGTAGGACCTGACCGTGCCACTGTCCTGCTGGCCACTGAAGTCCTCTTCCCACCGTCAGCAGGAAGCCAGCAGAAGCAGCAATTGCGATTCTTGGACATTGTGCTGGGGCAGAGCAATTCCTGGGCAGAGCGAGTTTGCTGAGGAAGGACGGACAGTTCAGGGCTGAAGCTAGTTATACAGGATGCCAAGTTCCATTGCTGAAGGTTCTGGCTCTGGTGCGGGTGGTGGGGACAAAAGGACCTCTGGGGATCCATTTCCGATGTGTTGGACATGGAAGGAGAGAGAACCTTCTATTCCAGCCTCAGTCATTGCATGGCTCATTTGACTTTCAGACAAGGTTTGAAACTGCAGAAAGATTAAGGCTCTAAGTCTAGCTCAGTGTACATGGAGTGAGATTAGGAGGCTTGGGCAGGCCCCAGACACATGCCTCTGTGTAGGGGCCAAAGCCAGGGTGCATGGCCAGCAGGGCCCCGGGGCTCCTCACAAGCAGAGGAGAGGACCTTGCCACTCAGATGCCAGTATTCTGTCGTCCCTTTGGCAAGAGTGGCCAGGTCAGGAACGCGCCCATATACCTCTCTGAGAAGGAGAGGGCTTGACATCACCCCAGGAGAGGGCTTGCCTACTGCCTCCTAGTTAGGCCCCAAATACGCTCAACTAGGCTTGGGGTACCAGTATCATGTCCAGGTCACAGGCAGCTTCAGAGCAGGCAGGATGTCAGGGCCAGGGACGTGGAGCCTGGAGTCCCGGCAATCAGGAGGCAGAGGCCAGGTAAGCCATCACCAGGAGCGCAGCAGGGCA